CTTCAATTTCAAGTGAATTTTATTTTAATAGACTCTTTGAAACTTAGCTCAAATAAAAGTATATGCTATTGGAAGTTGAAAGTTGCGACAAATAATCCTCCCTTGGCATTTTCGCTAAGTAAAACTCGATTTCAAATTCGTCAAAGAATCTACCATTAAAATTTAAAAATTCGCCGAATTGTGGAATACCTCGTACGTAATATTTGGGTGTGATCTCCAAAATTCAAACTTTGCTAACCGTTTACGTTATTGACAGAGCAGGATTGTACGAAACGCAGTTACTCGCGCGCGTTCATTTCAAATTCAATTTGGCGTCGCATCAGTCTGCGATACACAACGTCAATCCCTATGCTAATTTAATTTTCCGGGTATAGTATATATGCCTTTAGATGAGACTTTCCACCTCGAAGTGACACACATGTATATTTAACTTCAAATAATGTCTTTCGGCATATTTCTAAACATTGCATTTAATTAGGAAAAAATTAATGCGAGTGTTCAGCCAATAACCGCGATCAATTATTTGACAACTGAAATTTTCGACGAGATAGCTATAGGTCCTTAGAGATTTCTGCTTAGAGACAGCTGAGGATAACACAGCAAATGAAATCGCACTCTGCTTTAATGACCCAAGATAGTCGTTCATATGCCAAACACGGTATTCTACTTAGCACCATCAATGCGGGAAGCCCTACCCGTAGATGAAGCTTCACTTCTGAAGAAGCATCCATAAACTATCTTCCTCGTTGCCGTACTCTCATCCAGAGTGGAGAGCCATCTCCCACGGGACAAGACAGGAGAACCGGCCCGCCCTTTTTCCTAAATTCTTCCTTCCGTGATCTCGACGGCAAATTGATAGATCGCCCTGTGACCCGGCCGTGATCTCGCGCGGTTGCATGTGGGAGATACGTCACGTGATTTGATGGATTCGACCGCGATTTTATCATATGAAAGGACAAACTATGTAATAAAAGATAAAATAAATGATATTTGCACGCGCGTTTGCACGCTAGCATCGTTCACAAGTCTCCGCGCCTTACAAAATTTCCATGCCTTGAAAGTTATAGGAAACTTTTATACGCGGGTACTTCTCGAAGATATGTAAAAAGACTGAAGAAAGATTGCCGTGGAGGAAATGCGACACGTGACAGCTCTATGAATATATCTCCAGCGGAATTAAGTGTGTGAAAGCAATAAAGAAATAATATTTTGTTTTTTTTTCCAAGTAATTTTAAACAGAACGAAAAGGGATTTATTTTGCGAGAAGCTTTACTAGAGACAGATATTTAACGTCAAGAATTCGGAAAATGTGAAGAATGGTTGGCGCTTCACTTCTCGTTTAGAATCAAAATAAGACATATTTTAAATAAGTAGATGCTGTATTTCTCCGGGGAGAAAAATATGCACTTAATATATGTATATTATTCGCTCTCATTCTCTCGTGCGCGTGTATTAGAGTTTGCCCCGTAGATGCGGCACATCAATTTAAGCAGCGCGAACGTACACGACGCTGCAAAACCACGTGTAGAGCGCGGTGCAATTACACGTTCGCTCGCGCGCCGCTAACTTTTCGCCGCTTCGAACTTTAATGCACGTCGAAACGAAGATGCGGCATGCCGTGAAATGAAATCTACGGCGGCAGCGGCGGCGGTCGTGCGGGGAGGTATATATACGTGGGTCGTCTATACGCAGGAAGTCCCCACGTAATCCTGGTAACGTAATGCAACGGGGCTTGTGCCATAGCTGCGCGGCGCACAACCTGATTATGTCCATTTGTTGCCCACTCGAAACCCCCGGGCGATATCGCGGAACTTAATCCACCTGAGTTAGTTGCGCGTGCTCGTTCCTCGTGGGATCGTCTAAGATTTATCTTCTTGTGAAATATTTTCTCCCGGCTTTCCAACGCACCAACCGAGTCTCTCTCCAGGCTCTCCTCCACGGTGGAGACGAGGCGAGGTGCACGCGCGCGCGCGCGACAGAGAATACACGCTTTTCTCGGCACGCTCATAGTCCCACTGTTCGCTCTCGCTCCTTCGGCTATATCCCGAAGCCGTTCCCGTTTTACGTGTGCGGCATTCCCGCGGGTACAGACCCGGATAGCTGCGACTGATAAACCGACGTATAAATATCCCCGACAACTTTGCATCCCCGACTACCTCGCGACGCGTTACACGGTGGGGACGGGGGAAAGGGGCTGGTAATAAAGAAAATTCGCGATTTTCCGGCTGGCCGCGCGCGTCCATTTCGCGAGCGAGTGATTTAATTGGCTGGAACTGAGAACTAATCGTTCACTGGAGTTTGTAATGAAAAGGGTTCCCTATTAGTGAAATCGTTCGTATATTATTTTTACGATGAATCAAGTGAGAATTTCGATGTCGTTGAGAGAGGTCAACGCGCGTTTGCGTCCCGAACTGACGGCGTTTATATGATAGAGCACATTTCTATCCAGAAAATCTAATTACTTACGCTACTGTTTGACATGAAAATTAGATATAAATTACGAGTGATATTTATATCTTTAGGTTTTAGCTTTAGGAGATTATACGCTTTACTTGATTACGTGAGTAAGAGGCAGTTTCATTATCTCATGGAACTCTCAGAATATGATAATACCATTGAACACGTTCTCTTTTTGAAGAATAAAATGTACCTTACAAATGCAGGATACGCGTAACACAATGCCATTAAGTAGCGAAAGCGACGAATTTCGGGGCGTCTTAAAGTGCAAGTGGTAAAGCGTTTATTTAGTCAGACACGACTCTCCACTTTAGCCGGGATTAATGTCTGATAATAAAATGGAGTACAGAGGGATTAATTCGATTTCGCGGATGTTTCGCTTAATACACGGCCGACTGTCATTATCAGTTTCTCTGCCGGGTGTTAGTCTTTCCTCCGTAAGACCCGGGGCACGAAGTAGAAAGTTACTTAATCTTCTTACTACGCTTACCCTCGAGCCCGCCCGACGCCGCCTTAAACTTCGACTACCAGCATTTCAATGTATACGTATATTCACGAAATGCTAAGCTATCGCTAAACCGTATCACGGGCATTCGCGTCTTGCTCGACGCTGTACTTGCACACACACACACACAAGAAAGTAGAGTGTATAGTCCATTAAGATTTTTCCAATTTCATTAAGACCTTATTTTGCAATTGACAGATGATGTGAATCTGTACGCGAATAAATAATAAAAATCTATGCATTTATATTATAAAATGTCTAACAATTGCAGACAAGTAGTTTTGTCTTCAATAAATTTCAAAATGTTGTTAAAATAATAATATTTATATATTATAAGATATTATAACAGAGATGTAACGTTTAATATATTTTTCGAAAGTGAATAGGACTACTCTATTACGGGTAATCAAGAAATTAAATGTAGACTTTCAACTGTCAAAGAGCTGAGAGCACAAAAGCAGTAGTAGAACTCTCTGCAGAGTCAGACCATTTAGAGTCAGAGTGGTTCCCATTTGCTACTACAGTTAGAACTTTCCTGGCCCCCGGTACACAATGCGTAATGTGAGGATGTCTGAAAACAGCACCGTATAGAAATAGCAGCAAAAATATTTCTCGACAAAAGTTACCGCATATAACTATTTAAGTTTAAATAGAAATAGCTGCCGAGAGTGTTATATATTTTAACTAAAATCTAAATCTAGTGCTTAACCAAAAACGTGTTAATAGCGAGTAACACAGTTCAAGAGCAGACAAAATTTTTCAATATTTTACGTCAAATCGCGACAAGTATTTACGCTCGCAGCATGCTGTCATACGGATTTGTAAAACATTCTATCCTCTCCGCTTTTTTCCTCTTCGCTCCTGTTTCCATTTTCCTGTCTTTTACCTGCATTTCACGTGCTTCTCTTCTCCATCCGAGTGTACAGCACTACGGATCTGAATATCTTGCTTCTTTAAAGGGAGGAGGGTCTTATCGCGGAGCAAACGTGACCACGGTTGCGCCGTAGCGCGACGTCGAATACGACGGTACGTACTTATTCGTACGTTACCTATGTACGTACGGTATATCCGACAGAGCTTGTTCGCGAGCGTGATATCGAATTGCGTAGTCATACGTGAAGGCAGACGGATGACGCATCCGATCGCCCGAGGAAATTCAGAGATCCTTATGTATCTACACGAGATTTTTCGGGCTGGGGGTTGACAAGGGGACGTCGCGCGGGGGACGGGGGTGCGCGACTACACGCGTGAGTGCCCAAGAGGAATTTTCAGACCGTGATACACTGAGAAAGAGGATGTGCGCCGAGAAGCGGAGTAGGATGGGGGGGGGGGGTATACCTGGCATCGACGGGATCCGTATTATAAATCCGTTCGCGGAATCCCCGTGGTTATTTCGCGGTAGATATTCCCCGAGATACGATTTCGCCGTATGAGAAATATGCCGATAATAATCGTCGTATTAGATCTCAATCCTGCCACGCCGACATCATATGCGTCGACGTATGTGTGCGCTCGTGATATATTTCGCTCTTCCCGCCGTTCTCCTCAATTTTAATCTTTAAATCTCTATATACGAGTCTACGTATAAGTGTACAGCGTGCTGCGACGATAAGATCGAGAAGGAGATTAACGCGAGCGTGGAATGTCGTATAAAGATATATTCCAGAGAGGATCACATAATACTTTATCAAAGCTCCGACAATAATACTGCGCACTGCGCGATTCGTGTGCCGCTGAAACGAGAAGTTCGCTCCACGGCGAAACTATATTCTGCGTCCTCAAGTTTCCATGGAAATGAATTCCGTACAACTGCGATACTTGGTGTAAAGAAGACGCGCGACCGTGGTCAATGTCCCCAACTTATAACGAAGGGCTGCACGTGCCGTAGTTCGCGATCGGTCGATTCATCGGGGGGTGAAGGGGGGGCGGGCAGGGGGAGGGGACAGAGCAGGCGGCGGAGGGAAACTTTGCCGGCGGCATGGTACAGCTTTTTCATAATTGATCGTCCAATCGATACACTCCGCTATTCTGCTTTCAGGAGTACAACTCGAGGCCGAGTTGTACTACGTGCGGGAGGGGGTGGTCAACACGTACGCGATGAAGTTCGTCGTGCCTGTGCCGGCTAACATAGCGGATCTGGAATTTTCATGGCAGAGCCTCGTAGGACACCCGGTAAGTACATATATCCAAGTGAAGACGCTTCTAAGCATGATCAAGCACCCAAGCCTACGAGTTACCATTTCAATCCCCCATTTGATATTTATTTGTCTTGCCTCGATATCTGCTCGAAGCAAAAGACTCTGAGCTTTTTTAGTATACGTCATACGTCATACAAGACTGTTTGCAAGGATATTCGTATATGTATAACCGCGTTATACGCAAAAGATTTCTTTCGTCATCCAAGCGGAATTTTTCAAGACCTCTTTTACATCCTCGGTTACGAAAGAAATCACGTTTCGTGTATCCGCGGCGCTGCCGCCGAGGGACGTTAAAAGCACGGGTCTCCCGTGTGCTCGAGCAAAACGTTTCCGCCGGCGATTAACGAGACGCAACAATGCGGAACAAAGTAAACACGTGACCCCGGCTGGAATGGTAACACACGGTATTCCTCGTTTACGTTCCGCTGCGGGATGGTGGCCCGTCACGGTGGTTTACCGGGGGTGTTCGCCGAGGGTTAAGAGGGGCTCGGCACGGCTCGTGAGGGGTGAGACACGACGACGGTGTGCAGGGCTGTATCAATACTCTATCAATATGAAATACAAACAGATGGCCTGGGCGTGAAAGGGACGGAGCGAGGCCGGTGCACGCCGTGCGGTTCGGTTTTGCGCTCCCTTCGGTCACCAAGGAAACCGAACGCGCCCTCGAAACCCCTCGCGATGTGGGTAGGGCGCGGGAAAAACGTGAAAAGTCGCGATCGGATGTTAAACGACAAGGAAATCTCCGTTCTACAACTAACCGCTGTTGTGTCTGACTGATCGTGACCGCCGTACCAAATTCTGTCGATTATTATTCTGCCGATCAGTTTCAATCGATACATCATCATATCTCTTCGTTCTGTCACACTCTTTGTATAATTAGTCATCGTTAAAGATGATACAGAATCATATAATTTGTTATTTACAGTGATTTTGTCTAAGAACATTTAATAATGAAAAATAGAAAGTTACGAAGCAGCATTCTATGCAATAATCGTTTTAAAAATATAGATAATTAGGCATTTTTTGGTTTACATTAGTACGGAACATAATAGTATAAATAGAGTAATTTTCCTAAAAATATCGTTATTTAAAAGTGAATTAATGAAATCGTTATAAGATCAACATACGAAAACAGAAATTTATAAATATATAAGTAGCATTTAAAAAGACGTTTCGTATACTGGCTCGTGTTCGCTCGCGCTTATTTGACCGCAGAGTTACTTTAAATGACGCCAACGAGTCTTTCTTGTCGCCATTCGTACGTTGAAATGGAACTCGTATCGCAAATTCATTGAATCCAGGGATTTTTGGAACGAGCGTCCGTAAAAGGCCGATATGTTCGTGCCACGAATCCTAGCCTGTTGTTGGACGCGTCACGACCGTCGGAAAGACGTCCATCCACTCGCTCGTAGATGTATAACATACATCTGGTACCATTACGGTGCGACGCTTTATTGCGGGAATACCACACGGCGACCCATCTTATCCCGCAAGGGAGTGTTTTCCAGCCCTCCACCTTTTACCCGTTATCTCGTGGACCCATCCGTAGGTTCGTTAACCGCGAAATCGCACCATTTCCGTGATCACGGAGCCGTCGTTTCGCCTTATCTCCCGCTCACTTTCGACACGACGGAAGAGTTTCGCTGTTGGAAACGGCCGGAGACGGCGAAAGAATAGAAGAACGGCGTGCGTAACGGGACGAGAACTAGCATGAAAATTGGTCACTTAATTTCGCGCAGATAGTTCCACGATAGCTACTCGTTAAAGAGTTAAAGAGTTTGCGCTTCATTGATTCTAAATTGCTTGAATGGTATGTAAATGTTAAATTATTAATATTGGAATGGAAATTGGTGTGTCAAAGTATTTTGAATTCTAAATTCAAAATTTACCTTGAGAAAAATATTACTAAATATTTTTTTCCTTTATTAAAATAATCTTTTAAACATTTTTTTACTATTTTTTTAAAGAACTTTTAGAACTTTTGAGTACTAGGTGTTTTACGTTTACATTCTATCTTGCATTAGATATTTATAATTCTAATATCTTGAGTTAAATATTCTCTCAGAAGATAGTTTCTGAAGATTTATCAATAAACTCATAAACGGTAGACACACACACACCAGGTGATGCACGTGCGAAACGTTAAAATGCTTTCGCGAGGCTCTGATATATGTTGGAAATTTCTTGCTGCCAGCTAAAAGCATAGCAAATACCGTCCAAACACATTTGTGCGCGTTGAGATATGATGCCTCGTAGCGCATTCAACAGCGACTCGATTAAACATAGTGTTATCCGGTTTTATCGGGGCAAAAACTTTCCCTCTATCAGGGGAATGTTACATATATTCGTCGTGATTCTGACTCACCAGAGTGTCGTTCGATTTCCGCGTATCTGCATCCTGCGATCGGATAAGAGATCTCTATAGTAGGATATCCCGATGTGCATCCCAACTAATCTGGTCATCTGGACCGACCGAGTTCGATCGAGATGAGTCACGACACTTTGTTACTCGCCTTATCCGACAGTTTCATCTATCGAGTGGCTCCCTACGAACGAATATCGCGTATCGCTCCGTATGTAATTCCTCTGGTATTCCGGTCGCGAAATGTTCGACGGAATCGGGCGTCGCCGGGCTCTCATTGTTGACGGCGCGAACAGGAAGGAAGCGCTATTTTTCACTTTTAACATGTTTCATCGTAAGATTGCCCTCGGAAGACGTCGCGCTGCGGCAGTGAAAAATGGAACGAAGCGAGGAAAAATCGAAGAAAGCAAAAGGAGATTGCGAACAGAGGAGGCGGAAGCAACCTCGAGCGATAGCACTCTCGATTAGGTTCTCGATTCGCGGATCGGAGTGTTACGCGTTTATTTCTTCCTCCTCCCGGTCCTTTCTTCCTATACCTCTCTGTTCTCGATTCGTCGCCCGCGGCGAAACGGGAGTTATTGGTCGTTCTGGACAAGGATATAGACTGAAATGAAGTTTCTCATCGACGAGGGGTGGCGTCGGGCCCCGAATCGGGGATGATTTGTGAATCATCCACTTGTTAGGCGAAAGTTCCGCGCTACTTTTTTTTTTCTTTCCCTCGAGTCGGGACCGGGGTATATAGCGATAGGGTCGTGGAAAACGTAGGAAGGGTGTCGCAGTCTGGCGGTACACGGTACTATTCTTTCCTGTTCTCTCTCTCTCGATCCTTTCTTCTTTTTTTTCCCCTCTCCTCGTCCTTCTTCATGAAGCTGATTTTTCTTTTTTCATATCTCGTGCTATTTTCCTTCGTATTCTTACTTCGCTTATACGTTTTCCTCCTTCTACCGTGTTTTCCTACGTATCGTATTTTTCCTCTATCTTTTTTTTTCTTCGTTTTTTTCCGCCACTCATTTTTCCTTCGCCTCGCCTTCTTCCTCCCGCATCCTCGTTTTGTCTCGCTCTCGAGATCGGGTTGGGAGCTGGGGTGGATATAGGGTCGATCTGCGATCTCCCCAGGGCGACAATTACTTGTAATACCGTTGGTCTCTCGGGGCCGATGGGAACTCGATGGGGCGTATTCCCCGTAAGAAAAAAGGACATTACTGTAACCCACAGTCGAGTCCGACGCTCGCACCCTTACGAAGAGCTCGATCTGTCGCCCTTGTCTTATCATGGTTGACGTGTCTGATGATCTGTCAGGGGCCTCTCTTCAATTAGACGTGTGCTTGTCCTGTCTATCATGGGAATGGCGCATTTATTTAATTGAAACGTAACTTTAGTAGCAACATGTAGTCATACTCGACGAAAAAATAGCAAAACTTGTTGTATCTTTAAAAATAAATAATTATATTAATGATTTTTCACATGTAATATTAAACTGTCGTATAATTTAATTAATGTAATTTAAAATAATAATTTAAAAAACTTTAAAAAATATATACGCATTTAGATTTCTACTAAACAAAAATCTATTTGACATTTATTAGAAAATACGGTTGTTCTCATGCTGGTCCATCAGATATTGACGTCAAAACTTGTATATTACCATGAACCTTTGACTCCTAACGCGGAACAGCATCGCAATTAAGCTTTTGCGTTAAAATTCTCGCGAGAATCAGATCAAACCAATATTTGCTCGGGAGAACATATCCTTTAACTGCTAAATACCAATTTGCGATGTGCTCGGCGATGTATTCGCTTTGTCGAATGACGCGAATCCCACGTATACCATCGAATTCCGGCCGCTTCCGTTAATTAATGAAATCCCAGCCGCGGCTCATTCATCACCGGCGATCGTACGTGTCCGCAATCGGAACGGACGCGGGTCGTATCTCGTCCCGCGAGCTGCTCCCGATATGTATGCACGGTGTAAACGACGTGCGCCTTTACGGTGCGACGATGACGGCAATTTCGAATTAATTGCAAATTCACTGAGATCACGCTGGTTGGGGTGACGCGGGGGTGATTAATGTCTCCGTGGTAATCCGGAGACCGGCTTCCCGCCCCCACGGTCCATCCGCCAGTCGCCCCTCCTCTCCGCCCCCGTTTCGTTCTTCCGGCTCCGTTCGCGACGCTTACGTATGGTAAGTGCTGTGGGATAACAGCCTCGTGTTTCGGATAACAGGGAATATCACCCACGGGGACACCCGACACCCCGACACCCCCCCCCCCCCCGCCGCCCCCGCCGCCGTGGTGGCTATGACAAACGCACTCACCGCGGATTATACGACATAATCGCTGGAAACCCGAGCGCCCGACGAACGCGCGGTAATTTTCCTGAAATATTCACGGAAGATTTTCGGTGTCGAAGAACGGCCACGTTTGCGGCCGTGTAACGGGAGACAATGACGGAGGGATGGTTGTGTTGGATTTAACGATGGTAGATTACACCCTGACGTTCCACCGCGCGCGGTGATTTCGGTAGACATTGGCTGGACCTTATAAACGAAATTGAATGGGACATTGCTTTTCCATTTTCCACGTTAATATCATGACAAGTCTGTGACGAACTC